CGGAATCGAGCCACATCGTCGGGGTGGCAGTTCCCGCGTGTTTTGGTTTACTGGTTGCTCTATATGCGACGTGACCTTTATTTCCCCCCGCGTTTCTTTCGATTGGGGTGGCACAAGTTAAAGGACTTCCGGGCGAAAGTCATGCATGCAATATTGGAAAGCTTCGATCAGGAAAGCGAAGCCTACCATGACTTGTCGAATGAGTATGCCCTTGGTCCTTACCCGGCTCATGAGCGAGATCTTTATCACTCCGCAGCTTATGCCGGAGGTCCACGCGGCTCCCAAAGCCCGAGCCCGGTATCACGTCCCCGACCTAAACCGGTTTTGGCGGGAAAACAAAGCTCGCTTGCTTTACTCCAAATGTGAGACGCTTTCATTGACCCGCATTATGCGTTTTGCAGAGAATTGGATTCCTGGCCCCGCAGAGATCTCGCCCCGTTAACTGTCCCGCCACCTGGCCTTGGGCGGCATCAGTGAGCGTTGCGAGGCTCGCCCTGCTCCGCGGTCGGTCATTCGGCCCCTTGCGGCCAGCAATGCTCACTACAGCCTTGCGCAACTTGCAGTGAGGTGGGGGAGATCATACTGATGTCTGCCCACCAGGGCCACCGGCCTTCCTACCCTTGCCACCATTGCCTCACGTCCTGGACTTTTGGACTTTGGTGTGCGCGACTCGTTAGCAAAACAGGACACGAGGATGACCGTTGTCCGACGGGACTAGAATCCTAGTCCTAGAACGGTAGCCGGAGCTTGGTTTTGGCTCCACTCGTTGTCTCGAGTGACTTCGGACGACGGTCCGCTGTTGCTTTAGCTTGAGTCGCTGAGCGGGGCCAACTTTTTTACCAGCTGAACAGATTATGCTGACCAAGTCCGCACACTGCAGCTTGTACTTAGCTTCGCTGTCATTTCCTTCGTTTCACCGCTGTTTTTGGTGTTTGTTTGTTTGATCGTAGTTTACTGGGACCGAGCGTTGCAGCTGCGACCAACGAGGCCCGCCGACGCCAAAAAATGGTAGAAAGGTGGAAAGTGTGATCTGTTTTTCCAAGCTCAGAAGCAGTCAGTCAGAGTTTTGTTGTGCAAAAATGAAAAGCGAAGTTTGCAATTTGCAACGTGACTCACTTGCTTGGAAAGTTTGCTGGCCATGGAGAATTCCGAGGAATGCTCTGCAAAGTAAACAACAGGGCTGGTTGGTTTTTGATTTGGTCACAGCTATTGATTCTTCCTGCTGCAGCCGCGGTCATGACTGGAAGTTTTCCAACGGAAACGAGAATGAAGATGGTGCTTATTGTCATCTTCATTGCGCACCGCGCTTGCAGGAAGTGTTTCCTGCAAGCGAGGAGGACGACGAGAGAGCACCAAAGAACAAGCGTTGCAATTAATTACAAGAAGTCGTGGCGAGACCATGGTGACTTGCCTTTTTACATGCCCGCTTCAATGACGCCTTCGCAGTAACTTCGGACGTTGTACTGGTTTTCTGGATGCACCCCAAAAGCAGGTTCTCAAAGAAACCGGTCTTGCTGAGAAGACATGGGCCAAGATCCGCGACAAGATCCGAGATCTGCTTTGGCTTGTTATTCAACAGCAAATTCAATCGGGTGCAACTTGGTGGTCCTGGGCGTGTGGTGGTCATCGATGCAACCTTTTTTCACCAAGAAGAAGGTGAACGCAGGAGGTTTTGTTGGAAGGCGCACCATGTGCAACAAGACCATTGTTATGGGCTTCTTGGAGTTGGACTTGGCCACGAGAAAAGCAACAGGCGCATGTGTTTTGAACACCATTGCGAATTGTCGCAGAAGATGTACCTGAGAATATGCGGAGCGATTTTGAATCCTTTTTGCATTCGGATGATAGTGATGATGAGGAAGATCTGCCCGAGCCTGACCCACCAGTCGTGTCAGAAAAAAGGGAAGCCGATGAACAGGAGCCTGCCCCACCAGCTGTGCTAGGAGAAGAGGAACATGGGGAAGCGGGTCAGATGGGCAAGGAACCATTGCATGTACAGCATCCCATGAAAAAGAAAACCTTAAAGTCAAATTTGAGGCTGACACAGGAAGCAGCGGGAGTGATTTGGAAATTGTTTACATCAAGCCTGCTTCCAAGAAAGCTAGAAGGGACTCAGCCCGAATCAAGAAAGAAGCGTCAAGCTCCCAACCCTCGGTGCATGGACCTTTTTGCAAACAAGGCCACGACATGATTCTAACGGCGCCACCCGCCGATGTCATCAAGAATGCTCGTGAATACGACTATTTCAATGTCACGTGCGACTTGTGCGGTGTCTTGGCTGCAGGCAACCACACGTACAGGTGTGATGCATGTGACTGGGACATCTGTGTCACTTGTGCAAAGAAAACACAGTAGGCGTTAAATTTGCCACCAAGATAAACTTAGTGTACTTTCCCTCTAGCAGCACAGACTCCATGAAGAGAGTCATTTGGCGCATGTCTTTGTGGTTGATCCGGATGTTGCCTTGGGCAAGTGTCCATACTTTTCCGTCTCGTGTGGCAAACACACTGCATGGATGGGTTCTTTTCTGTGGGAACTTTGGAAGTGCCTGCAGAGCTTTTAGAAGGTCCATCTAGACTTGTTGCTTTGCTTGAAGGAGCTTTTAAAATCAAGCTGGTCCGACAGTTGATTAAGATGCCAGCTTGTTGATTGAGATGCCAGCTGGTGGGATGAGAAACGATACTTTGAGTACGCTTTTGTATTACTCTGGCCGCAAAATGGGTTTTGAGGTGTTGTCTTTATATCTTCTTCCCCTTAAAGGGGGGCTCAAGGGGAGGGGGGCTTTGGGGTTTTAAAGGGGCTTTAAGGGAGGGGACAAAGGGGGGCTTTAAGGGGCTTCAAACGGGGGTTTGAAACGGGGGCTTAAGGGCCTAAAGGGTGACTTTAGAAGGGCTTTGAAACGGTTACTTGTTAAGGGAGCTTCAGCTTCAAGAGGGCTTCGTCTAAAAGAGCTTGAAACGCGGCTTTAAAGGGCTCCTCTCTGTGGGGCGAACAAACGTGCCTGCAAGCGCTTGACAAGCTGGCAAACTTCTTTTTTGAGCCGCCGCATCTTGGTCAAAATTGGTTCTTGTGCGTTTAGAGACTTGGGTATCGCTTTTTAATGCCACCGGCTAGGCAGATGCGAACAATTGTGAGTTTAGGGTTTCGAGAAGCTGGCAAACTTCTTGTTTGGGCCGTCGCATGACTGTCAAAATTGCTTTTGACACCCCCTAAAGCCATTTCGTGATGTTTAGTTCTTTGACGATGTGATTGTTGGATGGAGAATGGTAAGATTTTCATTTTTTGACCCCCTTAAGCGATTTTCTGTGGGCTTCTCCTTCGCGTTGCAGAAGGTGTTTTGGTCCATTGTATTTTGGACCATGCCTTTTTTGTTTTGCTTCGCTTTTTGCCCCCTAAAGCGATTTTCCTGTGACTTTACTTTCTACGCACGCTTGTTTATTTGTTGCTTTCACCCCTTTGAACGGCAATTTCGTCACTTTCTCGCGATTTGTGCTGTTTCTATTTTGTCTGGGGGGGCTTGAAGGGGGGCTTAAGCCTTCCTTTGTCAAAGGGGGTGCCTATAGGAAGCAGTCTGAGCAGTGATACAGTTGTGCTGAAGCCTCAATCAATTTCTTGTTTTCCAAGGCTTGGAAGCTTCTAGTAGGTGTTGCGACTACTGTCCTTGGCTCAAGACACGTGAACCAGCAGTTAGCTGTACGTGCAAGAAAAGAGAGAACTGTCCGAGTGCTGCGAGTTTGTTTTGCCAGCGTGAAATGCAGCAAGCTTGCTCAAAGTGCTTGGTTGCATTCTCGTGATTTTCGTGGACGCCAGAATTGCGTCCGTGCATCGTGTTCTTAACGGTTTGAATTTGCTGTCCTGTGGAGGATTTTGTCTGGCGGAAGCCGGTTTCCCGCAGGAGGGGGTTTCCGGCCATAGGGTTTTGCCTATCAGGGGACTCTTCCTGCCTACGGCAGTTTCCCTTTTGTTGCTTTTTCCTTGGTAGAAGCAAAGCAAAAATAGGAACCCCTTGCCGATTTTTTGCGGTTTCCAGCCGCCAGCCAGCTACAGGCCGTTTCCAGTAGCAGCCTGGTTCCTTTCAGAGGGGGTTTCCGGCTGGAGGCTGACCACCCGCCCTTGATTTGGCTGGTTGCAACCCAAAGCACAGCAAGCACAATTTCTTGGATTGGTTGATTGGATGCAACATCACACGGAAATTTGCCGCTTTGTGCAGCAAACAGTCGCTGTCGGAATAAACTGCTCTCTTTGTGTTTTCTAAAGTGGACTTCCGACAATTTGGCAGACTTAGGCTGCATTAGCGAACGCGGAATGCCGGACATGAACCGAACACAATTATCAGCGTTTTGTTCAAACTTCAGGCGATGCCGGGATCATTTTCGTTGATCAACAATGCGCGGCATGGCAAAAGCTTCAGCAGAAGTGTGGATGGCTTGCAAAATTTGGCTTGAGTGGATGTATGTCACGAATGTCCGTTTGGCGCTCAAGTTTCATACTTAGCTCATGCTCGCACGTTGCAGCCTGAAGTTGTAGCATGGTTTTTGCTTGCCCGTGTCCAACCCTGGACAGCTGCCTTACGCTCATGGCATCGCGGCACTTGCCGCCTTTTTTTTTTGCTCGCTTGTTTTCTGAAAAATGCAATTTGGGGATCGGTTGAGACGGCTATTCATTCTGTTATGTTTGCTTTGCACGAGCACCAGGTTTCGATGACGTTCGCCGTTTCGGCTGAAGGGAGCACGTAGATCCAGCATCATGCCTCCGAAGGTTCGTCTGTTCCGTTTGCGAACACACGTTTTCAGGGATCCAGACCGAACATATGTCAATTCTCAGAAGATGCATCATACTTCAGTTTTTGGACGTGTTCTTGCAGGCGAGACAGCAAGTTGAAGCGGTCTCCTTGGGCCCACAAGTCCGGGAGGGAGAGGTCCGCTCGCATGTCGTTGCCAGCATGCTTTTGCAGAGTTTGTCAGAGTCTTCGATGAAGGATCACTCAATCCGACCATGCCATGGGTTCAAGCGGGTGGGTTTTTCCAAGCAGTTGCCCGGATCCTTCGTTTACGAGGCCAAAAGGAATCGCTTGGAGTTTTTCCTGACCTGACCTGCAATGTTTTGCTGGCAAGGTCTGGGCGACGTGCGATGTCTACTTCAATGAACACCTTGGAAATATCGAATCTTGGCAGTCGCGATCTGAGCATCTGGTTGCATGTTGCGTACACCGCATTGACCTCATTTGCCAGAAACAAATTTCGCCGAGGCTCTGATGAGCGTATTGCCGCCAGGCGACAACGAGCGGAGGCTTGCAGAACAGTTTGCACGCCAGTCACATAATAGCCCTCAGCGGACAGACTTGGCATTCGAGTGATCCTGCCTCCTGAGCTTTACAAAAAAAGTTCAGATATCCATGAAACCAAGTATTTGGGGCTTTCATTTTTAAATCAACAAAGGCAAAACCACTCATCACTTACGTGGATGTCTGAACGTCCGAAATACATTTCCGGCTGGTCCTGCGGGTAGGGATCCCGGTACATCCACTTTCCGTGGGACATTCCAGCTTAGATGTTGTGCCTTGGGGATCCATCGACCGGTGGGGACATTCAGGTACATTATTTGTTGGGGGTGGTAGTGTCACGTTTGCGGTTGGTGTGAGGCCAAGCTCAAGCAGGACAAGGCTGGGATCCGAGGGACCGATAGAGTTGCTTCCTCTCCATTAAGGCTGTGCATGTTTGTCAGCTGCTGGCTGGGATAGTCCAGCCGCCAGGAGGAGGCGGAAGGTAAGAAGACCAAGAAGGACGACACAGCAGAGCAGGTTTCGCTCGGCAAAGAGCAGTATGCTGTCTGGCGCTTACCGCGTCAACAGGCCTGTTGGCAGTAGTGTCATCAAACAACATTGGTGTGAATTGTGCTGCTGGCTTTGACTTAGAAATCGGTGGCCGAACTCGAGCGCTTCCGAACAGAAACTTGGGAAGAGCAGTCCACCCAGTTTAGGTTGGTTCGTTCCTGTCCTGGTGTCCATCTCTTTCGCAAGTGCTCATGCCGAGACTACGACCTTTTTCCAGTTAGTCCATGTTGTGACGAAGGTTGACCAGCATCCGTGTACGTTTCGACGATCAGGAGCAATCCTTGTTGGCTTGTTTGTCCAGCACCTAGCTATGATCCCCATGCCATTGCCGAAATGCCACAGCTGGCAAGAACGTGTAGGCTTAGGCAGTGCTCATGCAATGCTTGGACTTAAGCCGGGGTGTTTGCCGAAGGAGAACCAGCGTCGTATCGTCGAAGAGAACAACCGGTTAGACAGATACGAGGCTGCGGTCTATGATGCCAGCGTCGAGATTATCTCGTGTGGCAGGACATCAGCGCAACCTTGATTTATCTTTTTTTCGGCATGTTATGTCCTAAGGCCCTGCAGATCGAAGCCGTGACCAGCGGACGCAAAAATGCAGCTATTGAAATGAAGTGGGCCCTTGTCTCGGAAGAGAGGAGCAGAATATCATGTTCTTGCGAGATCTCAGTGGCAATCGCAGAAGCTGTGGTTTGACGGAATGGCACCTTGCAGCAGTGACTTCAGGCCGACCTTCTAAACATGGACATTCCGCAGGCTTTCAGTGAGCAGATGCTGTTCTCAAAGGCCGGGCGATAGCCAAGCCAATTGAACGCGTGCACAGGAACTGAACGACCAGCTTCAGTTTCAGAAGATTGCATGCGGAGACATCATCAAGCCGTCCTCTCAGGATTGTGATTTGCACACACATGGCGGAGAAGACACCAAAATGCATGAATCACACGGGCGTGTTGTTTTGCTACCAGCTGCAAGTGTTCGTCGAACATCTTCTGAATTGGACGCTACTGTCGGGCTCAGGTCCAAAGATAGGCGGATAGACGACTTCAAGGCCGAGTTAAAAAACAAGGACGAAGAGTACATCAAGATGCTCAAGCAGCGCAGCCCTGAGACCTGCAGGATTCAGTTTAGTCGTGGTGCGAAAGCAAATACTGGCACAGCATGTGTGTTCACAGTTCCTGGCGACCACTGATCTCAAAGGCCCTTTTCACCCGCTGCCGAGGCAGAGTGTGGACATCACTACCCTCATCTCGAAGATGCGGGAGCAGTATCATGCACTGAGACAACATTACGAGAAAGAGCCTGACCCTCATGGCAAGGGATTGGACGATACCTCCAGCTTTGTAGCCCGCCCTGTAGCCCTTGTAGCATAGCGTTTCATTGCACGACTCTGTTGCATTGTGCAAGATGCAATAGCATGCATGTTTTGCGGTTGCTTGACTCCCATCAGGCTGGAAGATATCGAACAAGCGTTTGAGGATGAGCGAAAAGAGATGCTGCAGAAGAACAAAGCAGAAATAGAGGCCCTCAAACTGGCTGCAGATTACTCGCACTAAAGGCGGCGCTTGTCGTTGCCACATGTCGACAAAGATTCTGGATTTGCGACGCTGTCAACATGTACATGAGTGCTAGCGTCAAGTTAGATGATTATATGTGATGAGCCTTTCGGCCCCCTCACGCAGAGCCACGCTTCTCTGCGAAAGTCATGAAAACTATCGAAGAGCAGTAGCTTTCTGAGCTGCTGCGCTCATATGAGAACCCCGGACACGAGTTTTCGTCAGGCACTGTTTGAGAAGAGGAGACAAATGGAGGAGAATGAATTCCTCGAAAGACGGCAGGCAGATCGCAAGTGTCGACTGCGAGCTCCAAGTAGTGATCATGGTCATTCCTGGATTGCCGGAAGGAGCGCGAAAGAGGATTCCAGCAGCAAATAGAAGAGCTCAGAACGGACAATGCTGACGGATACAATAAGTGTACGTCCCTCAGCATACGCTTCATGCCGGTGTTGCAAACCGTATTAACTCCTGGAAGTTCAAGCAGTTTCCAGCACAGGAGTGATTTGTGTCACCGCAGGTAAAATTGCACTGGAAAAGGGTATTCAGGCAAAGCTGGCTGGTCTTTGTTGTGGCCTTGGCAGCATGTGGTGAGATCACACCTGCAAAGGAACTGGAGCAGCACTTGGAGAAGATGGTTGCGACATACCTCCTCAACAAGGATTTGCACATGTGCGGTGTACAGTTGTTCACTTCTGCTTGTTGTCCTTCCAACCCATGCCATGCAGGGCGTGTACCAAGCTGTCCATAGGCATCTTTGGCTTTCCACTGGGCCGTCTCGAACATTTGCGTTGCTTTAAGCGGATGAGGTTGGTTGGCAGGTTGTCGTGGTCGTGAGTCAAAGCTTGGGGTGCAAGCATTTTGTAATGTCCACGAGGCAGGGTTTTTGCAAGGCAGTTGCTGGTGATCTGCGCGCAGCAAGCGAAAACAGCGCAGATATTGTCTCGTAGTACATATTAAGTCTTCGGTCATGCAGGAGAAGCTGGAGTACAACCTCCAGGCATCAGATATGACTCATGCATCAATATCGGCTGTTTCCTTCTCGCCAGGTTCTTTCTGAACGGAACAAGGAGCATACTGCCATCCAGTCAGGTTCTCGTGGGTGCCAGTCCGTTGAATCCAGTTTTGCTTTGTCATCCTGCGCATCCTAATGAGGGATCAAATTGCAGCCGGTGAGTTGTGTTTATCCGAGTTTATCCAGCTTTCGAGACGATGCGCTGGTTCTGTTCCTGGCACCACATGGGCCTCCTTTAGAGGGCCCTTTTTGGTTTCTTAAGACCCAAGCATCGATGCAACTGTCCTTCAAAGGTCTTCGTACAAAAACCGCTTGAATCGACTTCGGGAGACTCTGCCAGAGACCCAGCAAGATGGCACATCCTACATATTGTGGGCTGGTCGGAAGAGCCGTGCTGGCTGGACCGTGTCACCCGTCAGGAATACCTTGATGGGTCGGTACAACACCTTGGACCAGAAGTGCCTCATGCAACTTGAAACCGGACCATGTGCACCAAGGGACGCTCAGCTTCTTGACTCGATGATGCGGTTTCAGGTACAAGACTCACAATCACGAGCTCACAGAAGAGTACAAGCGCCTGACCAAACAGTTCAAGGATGGCCCATGTCCGCAGTTGCCAGATTTGACGGACCTGGTACACCCAACTATGGTCACCGGAGTGTTTTGCAACTTGCCTTCACTGTTTGGAGTTTGCACATCGATCTTCATGACTCAGCGATCTGGGCACCTGACATCCGTTTTTACTGGTAGCAACCGTTGCAGCATGACAGGACCTGCAGGAGAAGTTTCAACACTTCGAGCAGGCCGACGAGAAGAAGTTCAGAGAGGCCGGGTGCAAAGCTGGTGACTCTGTGTGACTCCGTCGGAGACGTGGAGACGCTTTCAGGTTTGGGAGATGAACGAGGCCGAGGTGCGAGGTCTAATGACCAAGGCGGGAGCAGCGATGAATTTCCTCAGCCTCAGACAAGCTGCGGCCCTGTCGCTCTCTATTAGGTCCTCGAGGCAGATCGGCTTCTTCATGAACAGCAGTCACGCCGACAAATCCTTGGCGAGAGACCACGGACGCGACAAGCATGGCCACTGCTGGCCAGGCTGGGCCACGAGTGGGTCCCTCCAAAGGAGGAGCTGCTACAGCAGGACCCCGCTGCGAGAGTCAACATGTTGTCCAGGCGAGAAGGGCCCATCATTCTAGCATTCTCGTGTCAGGAGTTGGACACTTTCTCGGAGTCGGGCACGACAACCGGTAAAAGCACGGCTCTGGAGCCTCGTGCTCAAACTTGTCGGACGGTTACACAAAACGTTGCTGGGGTGTGAGCCGTGAGACATCTCAGAGGTCGGCCGAAATGGGGCAGTCAGACTCCGGGAAGTTTTCTGCAACGAAAGTCAAGAAGGTTGGGCTCATAAGTTCGTGTTCATGCCGCGGAAGAATGTATGCTCCCTCTCCATCGTTTCGCCATTCATTGACAGTCTTCCTGCTCCAGGTATTGGATCTCATAAAAGAGGAGACCCAGTTTCTGCTCGACATGAAGGCCGGAGTTGTGTTTTTTTGACAGGCTTGCTGGCTGTTCCATGCACCATCGACACGCAGGTCAAGCTAGCTTGGAACTGAAGCTGTTCTAGGGACACCATGATTTCATCATACCAATCCAATTCCATTTCTCTCATCCATCACGGAATATAGGCTTTGCCGGTCGATGCAGCCATGCGACGCAAGAGTCCGGGGAGTGCGGAAAATGCCGGGCTGGAGCAGCCGATCTCTCAGAACATGGAGGCACAGGAGGGCTTTCGGGTCTTCGGTCTTCGTGTTCACCGCACATCACCATGGTGAAAGTCAGGCAATGCAGCTCTTGGAGGTGCGGATCGCGACCAGCGACATGGAAGCACAGGCCGGAACTCCAAAGCGCGGCACATGCGTCCTTAAGGCTGGATTTGCAACCTCCAGGATGGGACACTGATTCCCAGGATTGCCAGTATGGTGAACCGAGCATATGGCTACAGGCTCCGCTGCCTGTACAAGCTACGACTGCATCTGCTTGTGACTTCGTTCTGCCCTCACGTGTTGTCCGTTCTCGATAGGCGAATCTCTGAGCATGATGTTCGCAGTCGAGTGGCCATGGGTGATGGTGGAGGTCCCTGGCTTTGTCAAGTGTTTGCTTGGACACTTGCTGCAGCCGACAAAATTGTACACACAGGCTGTGCCAACAGAGTGTTGCATTTGGCCTTCCGCGATTCGCAGCTTGTTGGCTGAGCCCTGGCTTTGATGGAGAAGTCGTGTTTGTCGAAGGCTTGAGGTTCAGGCTGAGGGCTCTGCGAAAGTTGAGGCTGCTCCTCCACCATACAGCCGCCATTTACGTGTTGTGGCTGTGGACACTGGGGGCTGATGGATCCTTGATGGCAGGTAGGCGTTTTGTGATTCCGGTCTCGAAGCTCAAGGCCTTTGAAGCCGTAAGGTCGTGGATCCTGCAGCACAGGCCGTGTCGGCTGAGAGAACCGAGGGGCGGTTTGCGCCCTTCGCCGTGCTTCGCACGTCGCACGTCGCGCTGTTCGCAGGGCTCCGGCGTCGCTTCGGCCCTGGCCCTGGCTGCCGAGCAGCGCCTGGCCCGGGCGGGCTGCGTTGCGGTGCAGATCGAGCCGTGGCCCCGGCCTGACGGCCGCCGCCACGGCCTGGCCCACACGGCCTGGCCCAAGAGGGCTCGACGCATGTGCAACTTATGTGCGGCGGTGTTACGCCGATACCCTTTTGAGGTATCAGTTCACGGTGGGCGACGAGTTTTGTGAAAGGCTGCGTGGCTGGTATGCGCCTTGCGCGCAGTCGGACCTTCTACCAAATATGCCCAGCGTGGATGCTGGCAAGCTTACAGCTAAGGAAGGGCAGCTTGGTTTCCGATGCCTCACTGGTGCACCCAGCGCCGTCACAGGCAGTCGAGAGATTCTTGGATGAAAGGCCCAGGTTGTTTTATAGAACAAGGGTCGCAGATGGCTCGGTAGTTCGCTGTCATGGCTAGCTGTGGCTAGCTTTCCTTGCCCAAGGTTTCGTCTTTGCCACAAGTGGCTACGGCCTACTGGCTGCTCACATTGCTGCCACCTCTGCGTCGTTTCGTAGCGCTGGTCTTGAAAAATCAACCTGACCACAGATGGCGACTATGGAGGCCCACATGATTTGGAAGAGGCTTGCGAACAATGGTGGTGGATGCGCTGTCCACCGCCAGTACGAGCACTGACCTGAGGATTGCTGAGACGAGCTCGGCAAGAGCCGTGGATGCGGCGGCGTTGATCTCCCCGGATGAAGCTCTCAAGAACAAACTCATGCTGGGAATGCTCGGCGTGTACATAATTACATGGATGAAGTTCCTCGACGAGAGCAAGCACTTGCAAGCAGTTCCCCATCGACCGCAAGCAGTGTGCGGTTCTTGTGCAGACACACCGAGACTTTGTGAAAGGCATGAAAACAGACCCTTCCCTGCCGCACAAGATATGGAGAAGGCATCATGGACAAACTAAAGCCAGAGTTCTAAGCGTCCACTACAGAATCGTGTCTTGTCTGGTGCGCCCCATCTGGCTTTCTCACTCTTCCGCAGTTTGCAGAAACAAAGCCCAGGGCTCACTTGCAAAGAGGCGTCTGAGAGGATGTGTCGCTCTGTCGTTCCTTGAGAGGTCCGTGACCAGCTTGCCGAGCTCCCTCCCGAGCAGCGGGACGCCGGGGCCCGTGGATCAGTCCGAAACCGATGCGGTGCGGATGGTGCAGCCACTTCGTCGAGTCATGTCATGTTGCTTTCTTTCTCGAGTGTTTCTAGCCGAAAATGCAATGCAGTGTCACAGTGTTCATTCGGCTATCAACGAGCAGCATCTTTGCGGCACCATCCAAAGACCCAATAATTCTGCAGAGATATCACCAAAATCAAACGGGTGTCTGCATGAGGGGGTTTCGGTCGTGCGCATCACGAGGGAGCAAAAGCCCGTCTTAAACTTTCAGCAGTATATTCTGTCAAGACAGGTCGGCACGGACACTCCGGAGTGTCATTTTTAATGTTTGTAAAATACCGATCTCTGATTAGATTTGTGTTCAGCTGTTCATTGGTCACGAGCAGCAGCCACTGCCACGCAGCAGAAATGATATCTACGATGCATTTGCCAAGGCTTCTGCTGGAATCAACACTTCGGGACTCAGGTAGCATCGAACTGGAATTTTGTTGAATATTTCACAAAGCATTAACGAATCCAGGGTTCCGCTTTCAGTGAAGATTCATAAATCTGTAAAAAATCAGCGGAACTTTATTCTTCGCAACAGTACTGATGTTTGCCTAATGCATAACCAGCATGCAGTTAATGCAAGATCTACGTTTCGTATCAGACATGATGAGTGAAGCCGTGTTTGCAGTGGATGGGCTGGCAAGATGGCCACAGGTCCTGCAGATCGATGCTCTTCTTCGGTACATTGGCGTGGAAGGGCAGCAGGACGTGGATCTGTCGGGAACCAAGTGCAAGCTGATTCCTTGTCACACTTCACGCGTGACGAAACATTCCGTCCCAAAGCAAATCTCGTGGGAGCAAATAGCTCCGGTCCCACCAAGAAGTATTTGCAAACCTTGCGTCACAACGCCAGGCTGGTGCAGGTCTTCTATCGTGGCCAGGAGGAAGACGACGAAGCTCTCATGGCCCCGTCCTTGCTCCATTTGGCCGCCTGTGCGACTGCAATAGGGTGAGTCTCCATCGAGCTTTGTCAGTCTAGGTCAAGATCAACTCTTGCGTTTGCCGCATGTTGTGATCCCGTGTGCTACAAATAAAGCGAATGCGAGGTGGAGCCCGATGATGTACTCCAGCTCTTGAAAGATTTCATAGAGGAGCTTGTAACTATGCCAGCTTCCAGTACATGTTAACTGCTGTGAAGGTTGCGGTAGTTAACATCTGCTGAAAAAGGAGAAGGAGAACATGAGGATCGCGGACGTGGCTCCTGATAAGAAGAAAAAGGCGAGTGACTCAGCCTCTGTATACTGTCCAAAACGAGAACTCTTAGAATGTGTATGCTGTATGCCGGGTAGGGATCAAAGTGGGTTCTGGACCGTGAGAACTGCAGGCGCGGACCCAGCAGCTCGGCAGCGAGAGCGAGGCAGATCGCAAGGCCGCCGCCATGTCGCAGATGTTACAAGCAAAATTTCTTTTGTGCGTGTGCAACCTCATCCATGTGACCGACAGCTAGCCGAATGTCCCACTTCTTCAAGCGGAACTATGCCGGGCGTTGCCAGGCACGCCGGCGACGAGAAGAGAGGAAGTTCTGGGAGCGAATGGGTCGGAACCCTCAGATTCTGGGACGGATCACTGTTCCGTGGAATCATGCGCAGAGCCCTAAGCGCAGTTGCAGTGCTGAGTACAGAAAACTGTGTTTGCTTTGATCCGTCTGTCAGCTGGGTAGGTCATGTGATCCCAGACATGAACTTCCGGGTTTGGAAGGCGCTGTGTAGCCGTTGCGTCAGAGATATAGAATGTGCCAGAGCACGAAACTGGTGCCCCAAGCATGGTTCGCAGGCATTGGACGTGTTCCTAAAGCGTTACTACGACCTTCTGCAAAAGCGAAGCAAGGCAACCTTCGAACTGTGTGGAACTGGTTACTGTTGTTTCAACTCGTTGCGAGATCGTGCCTGCTAGGCCATCGACTCTGCAGTCTGCGCCCTTGTTACCTGTGCCAGCATCTGTAGTTTCAGGGCGACGCCGTGACATTGTATTGCAGTGCAAGTGTCAGGTCACAATGCAGAAACAGAACGAAGAGCTGAAGGCACTGTTAGATCAGCACCTCAGCCGCAGCAGGAAATTGGGTTTCTCAAGCCGCAGATTCGCACAGTTCCGAAGCAGTGCCTGAAACCATCGCGTGCTTGTCTGGTTCAGGTACCTGGGCTCGAAAGTCAATGAGGAACTGCAGGTGCCGTCCGACACTGAGTCCAGCTGCACCCGCAAGGAATTGCCAACGGTTTCGGCCGAAGTTCTCCTTTTGCAAGGCATCTTTCCAGGTTCCTGTGTGTTATCCGAGGCCGACGCATGTCATCACTGTGGTCTTGGACTCGGAACGTTCTATGGCACCTCGGGTTGTTCTGTTTCCATATTTTTCCGAGATTAAGAAGTGTCTGGCTTTCAGATGGTTGTTGTCTTGTCGTCACCAAGCATTTCTCATACCATGTGTGGGTCTGCAGGAGGGCAGCCTATCAACCAAAGCCAATCTCTTGCTTGTTGTAGTCATAAGTTTTTCAGTGTTCGGCGTTCGGAGCCTGATTGGGAAGGTTGCTGGACCGTAGCAGACGCAGAGGGATGCCACGGTGGTCAGGTTCTCAGAACGTCGATTGGATGTCCTTCATCTTCTTCGAAGCACTCTCCGATACCAGTTTTGTAGGCTTGTCGCAGAAAGCTGACGCGGAAGGACTGCTCCCCCTGAACGAATTACACTTCTTGGCGGTGTGGCATTGACTTGCACATTTCCGAGGGTCGTGCTGTGAAGGCGAAGGGCCATCCCTCCAGACTCTCTGACAGCCGCGGGCCGCGGGGACCCGTGAGTGCAGAAGGCGGATCAGGCAGAAAGTTTTCATCCGCAGCATCGGAGATGATATGACGAGAGTCGCTGAGTCCTGTGCCGCAACTCGTGCGTCGTTTCACCTAGCATCCGGTTTCACCTGCCTTCCAAAACGCGCGGGCATCCATGAATTGGAAAAGTGTGTTCTGCAAAACCCCGAGCTCCAACGCGAAGGGAAGCGTGGTTGCACGGTGGCAGCGGCTTTGGGAGTGCAGCACGAGACTTTTCGTGGTGCCAGATCGTGTTCGGCGTCGCGCATATCTATGCCTCGTTCAACGACCGGGCCTTAGCGGAGTGAGACTTGACCCACTCCACTGGTCCACAGAAGCTCTACAGCTGACCGGCTGTTCCGGACAGGACACCTTCGTCCACGTGACAGACTTGTCTGGGCGTGAAACCATTATGCGGGTCACCGGCGGCATGAAGGCGGCCATGGGAATCCAGATGCGGAGGGTGACTTTAGTAGGCTCTCTTAAACTCTGACTTATGCCTCTTTTCTGCCTCACCTTCGTGCCGTGGTGCCGTGGATTGTGCTTGTCTCTTTAGTCCCCCAGCCTTGACTCGACGATTTGTCCAGGTGAAGGCTGATCGAGACGAATCGTCGCCGTACGTCCATGCCTTGGTTGAGGGCGCTATCTGTGAAAACAGACATGGCTAGGCTTGCCACCGAGCCTTGAAGCAACGATTCCGCAGGGTAACGGGTCGGACATGGTCGGACGAGGACCGAAGAAGATGCACTGAGGCCGCGATGCTTGCAGCGCAGGACGTCGCGGCTCGCTGCAAGGAGGGGGTACGCAGCTTCTGGATCACCGCCCGCTCACTCCTGTCGGCTCAGCATTTGTCAGCTCGAGAGTGGAGCTTGGCTGAGCTTCGGCGTTGCAGGAGCTTGGCATCGGAGCTTTGCACATCAAGTTGCGGGCGACAGGGGGCACCAAAACGCGAACACCAGGGCCAGGCTTGTCCAAGCTGCTTTCGTTTCGGCATAGCACGACGTAGAAAGTGCAGTACAATCCAATATGGTACCTAGTGCTGGCATAGCAAATTCGTGTGGTGTTGTGGCTCTCGCAGAACTTGCCCACGCTGTATCCCCTTCATGATCTTTTCACTGCTTGCCGACAGTCCGTTGGCGCGCTTTCGTTTGCTCCCGTCTCCGTTTTTCTAGCTGTGGAGCTGAATGATGTGATGTGCCACATGAAGAACGGTGATCCCATGTCTACCTTTCTATCTGTAGCATTACAATCAAAAGTGGTAGGTGAGCTTAAGGACATTGTCATGGTGATGCAACTCGGTGCACTCGTAGAAGAAGCAGTAGTAGTAGTAGTGGTGGTGGTGGTGGTGGCGGTGGTAGTAGTAGTAGTAGTAGTAGTAGTAGTAGTAGTAGTAGTAGTAGTAGTAGTGGTAATTGTGGTGGTAGTGGTAGTAGTAGTAGTCGTCGTCGTAGTAGTAGTAGTAGTAGCAGCAGTCGCCGCAGCAGGACCGCTGACGTGCAGAGCAAGCATGCAGACCCAAAGATATGTTCATTTGCACACCTTCCTGCAGAGGGGCACAGAGCGCTCTGCGAGCACTTGCCCGCTCCGGCATGAAGATTGGCCGGATTGAGGCCCGGTGCACAGATGCAGCTTCTTGAGTTGCCGCTGCTTTTGTGATTTTGTTCCGACAAGTGGAGCCCTTTCACTTTCGTTCCAGTGGCTGTCTTCGTGCCAGGATGTGACGCCGATTCCCACAGACTGCACTCGGAGAAAGTGCGGACGTCGCGGCCGCCGTTTGTAGGCGCTCGGCCGGCCGTCCCGCTTGCATCATGATAACATACTGGTTGAAGGCGTTCAATTAATCAAGCTCTCCTCTCTTGGGAGTTTTGTCGAGATCCTCGTGCAGGTGTTGGGATCGATCGCGGCACGCTGGAGTCATGTGAGGATCTGCTGGCGAGAAAAGTTGACAAGGTTGGATCGAAATCTTCCGCATGCCTGAGTCTCAGGATGCTGTTTGAGGTCTTGATCATCGCTCATGTGGAAGCTGTTTGTGACAAGAGAGAGTCTGGGGCGGTCCGTCGATGCTGCCTGCTGCCACTGCAGGAGGCCGGTGTGCAAAAGCTGATTCTAGGCTCCGGTCATGAAGAGGTCTCTGGTTTGCGCGAATACATGCGAATGCCGTTGGCTTTGTGAGGCAACAAATTGAGCTGGGGCATAGTGTTGTTCAAGGCCCATGTCCAAAGCAAGAAGATCCAAACGAAGCGGTTTCGGCATGGAACAGGGTGTCATGAAAAACAACAGCTGCAGAAGTTGCACGGCTTTGGTTGGACACCTGTACGATGTCTTGTGGCCGTGCCGAGCCATGCCGGGTGTGGTGCTGATTCCGCGTGGACCTGGCCCTGTAAATGCTTTGGGCTTCACTGTGCCTAGCTTTTGCAGAAGTTATGACTGCGAATGGAAGGGGTTGTTTGTGTACACAGTGTTAAAACTACGTTTTCACAAAGTACATGTGGTCGTGGTCGTCCTCGTCGTCGTCGTCGTCGCTGTTGTTTTGTCGTCATCCTCGGCTTGCAAGCTTGCAACTTGTTAACAACGAGAGAGAGAGAGAGAGAGAGAGAGAGAGAGAGAGAGAGAGAGAGCAGCCAACGAGTCAAGAACAAGGGCGAAAAGTCAGATGTGAAACAGCTCTGGGGGCAACTGGATTGGGGGGAAAAACCCCCGTGGCTTAGCTGGCGCAAGGCCCTCTCCTACATCAAGAAAGGGGTGAAACCCCCCTGGCGCCAGCCAACCATTCGGATGGAGGACGATGCGATGATCAAGGCCATGCTCGCCGCGCAGGATTACACCAGAGACAAGGATGGCAACGTTGTCAAGGGCTCTACGACAGGAGGCCCGAAAGAACCTGCCCAGGGGAGTAAGGCTCAGTCCTCGGCTGAAGCCGACCACGAGCAGCGCTTGGCTGCCAACCCATATCTACAACCTCAAGCTGCCGGAGCAAGTTCTTCTTCCACGGTGGCGTCTTCGCAAAACACTGCAGTGGCACCAGAACGAGGACACGCGGGGCCAACGCGCGGCCAGGACAGGGCAGTCACTTTCTCTCTTCCAGCAGACCACCGCGAACACCCACCAGCTCCTACTAGAAAGAGACCCATGCTGCGCAGTTTGAACGGGAGTACGCAAACACAGCTGCGGATTGATGGCTTGCGGAGCAACCCCGTCATCATCGTGGACAACAGACCGCCTTCGTTGCACCCGACGACCGCCGAAATCATCGCAGAGAGAGCAAGTGCCTCAACGCATAGTACCGTTACAAGCCGTGGGACTCGACCTGGGTCTCCGCTCTTCTACCAGCCCCCACCACTCCGAAGTGAGGAGCAGGCAGGGCAAGACGATGGGGCAACAGCTGGCTCCAGCCGTGATCCACCTCGGCCTCAAGTAGCTCGAGAAGATCCAGAACCTGCAGACATCAAGGACCTCGAAAACAGGTCAAGATAAGTTTCAATGGCGGGGAGAGCCCCGACGTGGATAGTCGAGCAGGACACCGACCAGGACACCCTCCAGAGTACACTGAGGACCGGTGCAAACACTCAGGATTTATCATGGGTTTGGGGAGCACCCCCCAGTTCTCTACCTCCCACTGTACCACTCGATGCACGCCAGATACTGACAATGCGGGGTGCAGCGGATGGCTCCTGGAGAGGTGTCGTGTGGACACCGGCAGATCGCCAACAGGTCAGGCACCCCTCGCGCCTCCGCCAAGAGCCGACGGTTGTCATCTTCAACACGCTCAGTGGCCATAAAGAAAAAGGGGGAACGCTGCCCCCTGGCACGAGATTGACTATGACGCCCGTGGGACCGTGGATAGCCACTACCAGATTTGAGCTGGGCTTTGCGAGAACGCCGAGGTACTGGCTAGTGGAAGTTGACGAAGTGGCCCAAGCACAGGGTGACCAGGGGTGGATTCCCCTAATGACGGGACAAAGCTTCTGGCTTGAATGGAAAGGCCAACAACAACTCTGGTCACGGCGACCACGTTTTCCTGGAGATGTGGACAAGCTGGGGGGCTTTTCCATTGTCCCGCAGCCTGATCCGCCGCGACCGCCCACGCCACCACCTACCGGACGGCGCGACAACGACCGGGTACCTCAACACGAACGCGGTGGGCGACCTCCTGCAGTACCTCAACGTCAACCTCAACGTCAACGTCAACGTCACGATCCACCTCAACAACCCTCAACACGAGCACAAGGGAACCGCAGCCACCACCAACGGGTGCAACGACGGGAGCCCATGGCCACGGACCCTACTGGATCCGAGTCGGAAACGAGTTGGCCCAGCGAGGATGCAGAAGAAGACCATGGCTCCTTCATGCAAGCTCAAGCAAACCGCAACCCGCGGGGAGAGGCCCCCGGCGAGAACCCAGGAAACGACAGCCACGACGACCGACCTCGTGCTCCACCGCCACCAGGAACAGTTCAAGGCCAAGCCGACGACTTGCAAACCCACCTGCACCAGCTCCTTGAACAATCTTTCCGGCAACCCAGCGAAGAAGTTACAACGCTAGCTTACAGAGCATGCCACAGCCTACACCGCCTTCAAGATCTACTACAAGCCCAAGCCGATACACCTCTACCTCCGCCTCCTATGCCAACCGTTGTCCAAAACACGCTGCCCATGGCTATGGAGAACCCACTCGCTGAAGCCCAAGTCCTGCTACGGCAACTGCTACAGAACTACGACACAATGCAAGTACATGTTCGTGATGGCCACCTGGACCGGGTCGACGAGGCAATTGCAACAGCCCGGGCCTCCGTTCGAGACCTCACACGCCAGCGCTACGACACCGCCGAGGCCCTGGCGGGACTTCGGACCATGGCCGCCAACCTGGCGCACCTCGACCTCACCCTGGAGGAAGGGGGACTTGCTTCGATCCAAGAAGCCATGGAAGTCCTGGCTTCGTCTGCCGATCGCACAGCGATCTACGTGGACACCCTTCTTGCAGCCTCGGCGAGCTCGTTACCCACGGACTCGAAGTCGACTAAGCGCAGAGCATCACCTCCGAGGAGCATGGGCCATGAAGAGAGGGCATCGGGGAATTCGGACCCCGTGAAAAGGTTGCGACCGAGCTCTACCAATGCAAGGAAGGCTGGACTACCTCAACGTGACCTCCCTCAGCATGCACAAGGGCATCCTTCTCGACAACCTGGACCACGACACGGCCGAGCACCTGGAGAAGCCACACCCCACCAGGTCCTTCAAGCGCAACAACTTTTGGAGAAAGCCATCCCCTTCGCGGAACAGGAGCTGGCGGCGCTACTGACTGAGGCGCATGGTTTCCTGTTCGCTTGGACATCTGCTTTATGGGGTCATCCCATTCTGCTGGTCAGTGACAGCCAAATCCAGCAGGAGCCGTCGGTGAGCACTACTACGATGGAAACGGGGAATGCTCCCCCGGACAACACGGAGGAACGGGAAGCAGACTCGGACGCACCAACGCTGGCTTTTATGCCCTCCTCCCCCGCGCGTGCAGGGAGGGGCCAAAACCGAGAAAGTGCTTTGTGTCGGAGCTCCTCCCACCGAAGACGGAGAATGCATGCATACTTCTATGGGACACCCGAGAAGGAGGAGCACCAGGGTAGCGACGAAAACTGAGCCGCCTGCAGAAGACCTTTTGAAACCGGCATCGGTGTGAGAGTGTGCGCTCAACTGTCCGATCTGTCCGGGGACATACCCCTGTGTTCGATAGTGATTAGCCTAGGGGCCCGTGATACTGTGTTTCTTGCACCTGTCTGTTTCCTGTTCGTGTCCGTTCGCTGTTGCTACCCCTGTTAGATGGGCCGATCGGAGTGGTATCCAAGCTCGTCACCTAGGACCTCGCACTGCTAGGAACTTTGTCAGCCTGCTGTCGTTGCGTAACCCAACCTTGGTTTAGCGTTTCTAAACGGGGGGAACCTCGTCCTGACCCGAGGCGTCCTACTTACCTGCACGGTTATTGTTATTGTTCTTTGTGTTACCCTTGTGTGCCCGGGCAATTGTCCTCCGCTAGGTCTCAGGCTACTTGAGCTTGTGGGGACGTCCCCCAAAACGAATGCGATAGGCTACGATGCTGCCTCAGGTCAGGATTTCTGCATTGCTGTCCGCATTTGTTGTAGGGCCCTGCACTTAATCCGAATAGAAACCTTAGGAACAGCAAGCCTGACCAAGCTCGCCCATGACTCTGGGAAACTTTGGCCTTATCCCGGATTGCAACCCCTCATATTGCTCGATTTATGCTATGGCTGCTCTTTGTCTTTCCCGGAGTGCAGTCGCCTAGAGTAGCCCTTGAACACAGGGGGCAACAGGAGACGAGGGCATGCATGCAACTTCTTGCCACCCGCAACCGTCGGGGGCGCACAAAGCGCGCGGCGTAGGGGAACTTCCCCTTCGCCATAGCCCTGGCGAAAGAAAGAGAGAGAGAGCGCGACTGGTGTCAGACACCCCCCATGCCCCGGGGAAGAAGACTGGCAACAGAAAGGAAAAGAGACAGAGACACAGACAGAGACAGGGACGTGGACAGGGATGGGGACAGAGAGAGAGAGAGGCAGACATAGAAGACATCGTCCTACCAGAACTTGGCAGCTTTTGATCAGGTGCTGCGGGCGCGGGTCCGCTCGCCCTCACGCCGAGCCAGGGAGTCTGAGAATGGTGAAAGTGCAGACGAGAGACGGCCGAAACGGCGAAGACACAACAAGCCCCACAAGGACAGCATAAGATTCCTCGAATTGAACCTAGCTTGGGCCAACTCCTTCTAGTGCCACCCAGCTGCAGGAAGGTGGCACAGAACGAGCCACTTGGCCTGTGCGAAAGCTGAGCAGGAGTCTGGCGTGAGGCACTCTTGCTCAATCCTTTGGCGAGCTTGCAAACAGTTGTTGAAGGGGGGATCGCTTGCTTCACATTGCAATCTTCAGGGATCCTTGCGTTTTCTTCGTCCGACATGCTGCCCAGGTCCGCAAGCGGGTTCGCCAACCGAGCAGTGAGGCTAGTGAGGCCGGCAAGCACCCAAAAAAGAGCACCTGGGACCTAGCAGTCCAAGCGCAACCGTACCTTGCAGGAGCATCACATCGCACTCAGAACAAGCACTGCACTGCCACTGCAGTGAGAAGATGCCAGACATACCACAAAATTTCCGAAATTTGTTGGGAGCACGGAAAACGCACTCGACCGTGGCAAGATGACCTATGCACCGAAAATACGCACGGCAATGTGGCTGGAGCACGATTGAAAACTTTAGAAAGTCTCAAAACTTCGAATCTCCGGCCGCGTAGTGTGGCTTTGCTTCATAGAGTAGGGAAGCACCACAGTGAAGGATTTTGCCGATAAACCGGTGTCCATGATGGGGGACTCTGGAAAGAACGCGATGTTAGTCGAAAGCGTGCACATGGGCACCTGGGTAGCCGCGGAAAGTTCGAGCATGCCTACCGGACTCTCGGGGCCTCAGCAACCTTCCCTGTATATTGATATGCCATGCTGGGAACCACAGGTGTTGGAGGAGGGAGTCTGACCTGCGACAGGAGCACCCGCACATGTCGCCCCGCTCTCGCTCGCGCAGCGTTGCAGACACGGCGGGGACGGAAGAGGACCACCAGGCGACAGCTGAGCGGTGCGGAGTAGTCAGAATCTCGCTCTGCCGACTGCGGTTACCCAACAGGAAGCACACAGGCCTCTTCGGCGAAGACGTCGCAAGGTGCCGAAGGAGCGCCGTTTCAAAAAGGGTTAGCTAGAAGAAACAGGCGTGTATTGGGACTTTCGCCTGCAAGTTGTGTTTGTGGTGCAGTATTGCCTCTTCACTTCCGACTTCCCACATTGTCTTGCCACAGAGTTAGCTCAAGAGCTCATTGCCGGCCTTCAGGTTGTTGTTTCAACCAAGTGATGTGGTTGGCATGCCATCCTTGCAAGCAGTTCAAGGTCTTCAGGCATTGCTCTTCGTATGTCGCCGGGGGATACGGCCTTCAAAGGGTGCCGTCCTGTGAAATCACTTCGATTCTGAGGGTATTGACGGGTGTTGAATTCAGCTCCGGTGAGACTGATGCTTTTATCGCAATTAAGCTGCTTCCGGTATCTTCTGGTCCAAACCAGTACCACACCTGTTTTCACCGGTTGTACCTGTGTCTTGACGCATCCGGGTGTCCGTGTAGAGGTAGCTCTCTGGAAACAGCTGGTTGAGGAACCCTTCGAGGGCTGACCTGCATCATGATTCTCCTATCCTGGATCGGGTGGGGTACTAGAAGCCTTGCATGCTGCTAGTAGAGTCGCCACCTCTTGAACTCCACAGAAGCGCCGTGGGGCTTTGCGGCAAAGCGCCCTGCGTCCTCGTCTGCATGCAGGGAAGCCCAGAAGAAGAGATTCTAGACACATACTGTTAATTCGGTAGGCATTGTCACGACATTTTTTGACGGGTTTGCGCGTTGAGCAGGCTCTCGGCTTATGACTTGGAGCACGTTAGATGGCAATGAAATTTTGAGGTCTCTGCACGTGTTCGTGGGTTGCAGGAGGATTATGACTCGGAGCTTCTGTGCCTCGTACTGCCTTGAGACGCAAGGAGGTTGATGGGTAGTGTGGTTCGAAGCTTCAGTCGTTTCGCCCGTGGGATGCTACTTGAGTGTAGGTTCCTTTCTGAGACGACAGCCGTGTGGCCCTGCATGAATGAAGAGATGTACAGGCAGCCATACTCAGATCAGCTGCCGAGATGCTAACTTGTAATTGGCAACACTGCTTAGCTATGTTCTGCAATTGATCAGCGAGCTTTCGGCAGAACTAAGGAGCAAGCGCTTCCTCACCAGGCAAACGAAGGACAGGCCAAACAGTCCCAAAGCGCAGGACGGGACAGACGAAGATGCTGAAGCAAGTCTCTTGTTTGTGTGTGTGTGTACACTTGTCAGGTTCCGGATCCACTGCCAGAGAGCGCTTGTGCTGAAGAGCCAAGGCTAGAATTTGTCTCTCTTCCCTTTCAGCACTTGAAGCAGCTTCTCCTGCCAGGCCTGTCGCTGAGCAAGTCGCAGAGCAGCCGGAGGCTGACCTGAAGCAGGCGATCTCTGGGGGCGCCCACGAGGGTGCCGATTTGCTCCCGGAGACCGGTTGGTCAGCAAGCGGCTTGGCCCCAGACTAAACATTTTTGCAGTTGTCGGTGTTGAGAAGGTGGACTGGCAAGTACGTGCGAGTACACGCCGTAGCACTCACCCAAAAAGCGCATCCTTGCCAGGCCATGGTTATGAAATGGCGGAGTATTTCGAGTCGGCAGCGCTGCCGACATCTGTACCCGTGCTGGAAGCCGCAAGCACTACAGTTGGTGCTGTAGCTACGACGGCTCTGCATGTGGAGGAGCCCTGACTCGATGAAGCATGTCATCCAAAGTTTCAAATCTAAAGCACGTTCGAACCATGTTCTTTGCATTCAGACTGAAGGAACCATTGCAGACAGATGCCCCAAAGGTGACGACCTCAGACCAGGGGTAGGTCCTCAGGGTGATCCAGGACCGCACTGCGATGACCGTACCCCACATCCTCGTTGTTTGACTTCGCTAGAGGTTGTGGGGGATCAGGGGCTTCCTGCCCGACGCATTGCGAGAAGCACTTTATTACTTAGTGAGGCACATGGCAGAGAGCCTCTCATAGCAATCGATGTGCTACTGCTACTGCCCGCATCTCAAAACTTGAGGTTTCTGCAGCATCCAGACGCTTTCGGCGGAGCTGCCCTCAGCAAAGAAGGACATCACAGCTTCAAGGTGGCACGTGACCGGTGTCATGTTGTGTTCTTTGCGTTGAGGCCCCGCTGGTGGCGGCCCCAACGGGCAGTGGTGCCCGCAGCCATACTCCAGCTTCAGGCGATGAGCAAATGAGAAGGGTTGGGTAGCGTGCAGTCAGAAGACCTTCGAGTCACAGAGGTGACGTGACGGGGTTGAATAATACGACATTGCGAGCCGATGCGTCAAACCATGCAGGAGCTCTGCAGCGAAATGAAGGCACCGCTGAACAACTGTTTTTTTGATGCATGCATCTGCTTTGCAGTGGACTATCCGTGCGATCGCTGTTGTTTTTCAGGTCTCATCTCTCGCTCCCCACGAGTTTCGCCCCCGCGAGGCGGAACGCCGAGCGCTCTGCAAGGCTTCACGTGCCGAGAAGGACAGCGACGGAGAACACGCTCGAGAGAGAAGTGCTCTGGCTTTGGCAACCTTCGGCCCCGCAGCAATTGCAAGGATGGTCGTGGTGCTGCGGCAGAGCTGCGACAGTTGTTGCAGAAGCCGGGGGCTTGGGCAGCTGGAGTTGAGAGCGTTTCGGGTTCAGTTTGAACCGTATGTCATCTAGGCAGATTCTCAAATTTTGTTTCAGATTCTTGAGGTCCGGTGCGAGCATGCATGTGCACGCTCAATTTGCTTGCAAGCTGCCTTGACTGGATCGTACTGGATCATGTCCTTGTCCGAAGGTGCGGGCGCGACCTGGAGACACGTGCCGCGACTGCATGCGGCTGCGTTTTTTGCAGTGCCACTGCTTCCACGGCACTGCTACCACACTGCGGCTCCTGCTGCTGCTGCTGCTGCTGCTGCCGCTGCTGCCGCTGCCGCCGCTGCCGCCGCTGCCGCCGCTGCCGCCGCTGCCGCCGCTGCCGCCGCTGCTGCGCTGCTGCTGCTGCCGCTGCTGCTGCTGCCGCGGCCGCCGCTGCCGCTGCCGCCGCCGCCGCCGCCGCCGCGGCCGCTGCTGCTGCTGCTGCTGCTGCTGCGCTTCTCCGAGGCTTCGACTCACTGGCAGCACGTTTCAATGCGAATTGTCAGGCGGGCGGACGTTCGTTTGAAGGGCGGACCAGTCCAAAGACAACTGCATCAATCAAGCTACAATGACATTCATCACCTGGTGGTTCCGTGCTTGCTTTGTCTCAAACGGCTATCTTCATGCCGTTGCCAGGAGCGGAAGGTGTGGAACCCAGGATCTCGACACATCTCGACTTGTTGACGATGCAGTCTTTGAACGTTGTTTTTGAGACCTCTTGTTTTGCGTTTCCATGCCGCTCAGGTATTGACAATGCAACATCAAGAGCTTCAGCTGGCTTACGTGCCTGAGCAAGGTTTAAGTTGCTTTCGCAACCGCAGGGTCGGATTGGCACATTCCGCACATAGTCAGCACATTGAACTACAGGCGAAGCTTCTCGCCGGGCCGGATTGGAAGCCTCGAAGGGGTGCCCTGAGGCACAAAGTCCGGAAGTTGCGGCTGTTCGAGCCTCCCCCATGCATTGTCACTCGCGAGGCCACCGTCGACCGTGCACTCCCAAAGTTGGGGTGCAGGCCTGCCGAGTTCTGGGTTCAGATACGGCATCCGGACTTTGCAGAAGTTCGTTCGACTTTTGGGCTGTGAGATGAAGTGTCTTGCGCTTGCAGATTCTGAAGTTACAAGTTGCAGATGCGGGAATGCAATATGTGCATGTTTGCGGAGCAATAAAAGCCAGGTTGGGCCGAAGCAGCAGTGGCACATGCTTCGTCCCTTTTTTCAGTTTGTGTGTTTCTCTTGCCGAGGTGAGGACTCGAACCCCGAGTCAGACGACGACGTCATCGTTCAGGAGGTGATGGGTTGTCCTGGCGATTGCTGATGATTGCTGTAGTGCTGTTGTGCCTGGTGCCCGGCCGGCCCAGCCGAAGCAGACTTCCGATTCAGGCACCGAGGGAGGCGACGATGGACGCATCCGAGCAGATGCCAAAGCAGGTCGAACTTCGGAGGGTATGACTTTCTGCTTCTTTGAGGGAGTCCCGGCTACCATTTTTTTCACAACCCTCGCACGGGGCCGGTGAGGTTCCCTCGCAGACTCGCTCTTTGAGTGAGGAGCGAGAGCAGGTGGGGCGGGAACATCTCAATCTTGTGTTCTCATGGATCCAGCTGTGTCACTGCTTCCCTTCCAAACGAATCTATGTTACAGGAGGAGCGCGCGGAGATCTTGGCACGAGCGTCCGGCATTGTGATTTGGTAGCCAGCCGTGCGGCCTTCAACACGGAGGCCCAGAAGTAGAGTTTCATAGTTTTCCTCTGACGCACCAGCCAACGAAAGAGCTGAAATCCAGCCAGGCTCATGTGTTCTGCGACAGTCAAAAGTCTTTCTCGACCTTCCAGATGCTTAGGCGATCGATGTATCTTATTCGTTGCTTGCTTTCCCCGAACCAACCTGCAGTGATTCTCAGCCAAGCCATCTAGCTTGTTGGTGCCATGTTGCAACATCAGTGCAACTGCACAGCCTCTACAATAGACGTACTTTTCGCCGCTCACCGGCCTGATACGTTGCAGTGACATCCCGGGATGGACGCCATGCCTCGCAGCAAGCGCCGGGCACAGAAGTGGCTGCAAGTCGTCGTGCTTTGCACCCTGGGTTGTTGGCTTCTGGGATTCTCCACGTCTCGACTTGCGACTTGGACGCTACAAAGGTACCCTGTGCCTTTCGTGGGGCACAGAGTGCACGCAGTGAGAGCAGAGCTCAGAGCAACCTCGCTTTTCCGAGGCGTGGCCGGGACTTGTCCGGCCCTTCTCGGACGACGGCCTCGTGGCCAACAGCTTCCGAAAGATAGCTCATTTCGGTCTGGGACCGGACGAGGTGGGGCTTCTTGAAGCTCCGGGCTCCATGTGTGACACTCTCGCCATCAGGATGTCGAGCGACACCTGTCGCCAGACAAGCTTTGGGCATACCAGCTCCGTCACTCGGACAGCGCGTTGCCCCGGGACTTGGTGTGGATTGATTCTGCTGGTAGCGCTGAGGATCAGCCGTCGGCCACACCTTCACGCATGCCTTCGGCTTCCAGGGCCAGGCGAGGATTTGACAGTTATGTAATCAAAGGCAGCAAGGCTGCTGGGCTCGGTGCGAGCCGATGCACATCAAACTCGCAAGCTCGATCACCTGCAAGCTCGTATCAGATATTCATGATGAAAAAGAATGGGCTCATGGATCTCAGGGCCTCTCCAGAGGCATGGAACTGCGAATCACAATTCAATTCGAATCTGAAGGCACCGACACACATCAGTGCCATGCACTGATTTCGCAGAACCTGAGTGCCGAAATGCCCAAATTGGCCAAGAAAGGAATGCAAGACTCCTTGCACATCCAGGCGCTTCTCTTGGCACTGGCCTCCTCGCTGACTCTGCTACGTGGCGGCTTCCTCCTCGCCGAGAGCACAAAGCCCTGCCAGGTGCAGAAATTTGAAGAGTCAGCTTCGTATTGCAGAGAGATATTTCGGCAGCTTACTTTCAGTTCCGGATGCTACTCCAGGGGTGGGACGGCGGACATGTCACGTTGGAAGTTACCATTGATTGAAGACACACTTTGTTACATGACGTCTCATGACTCATGCGGCATGCACATGTCTCCGGGTATCATGTTTTCGTGCTCTATTTGTCTCTGTCGCTTTCTCGCTCTCTCTTTTTTCGATACACACACACACATATATGCACATATTTTTCGTTGGGTTTTCTAGGCTGTTAGGGAGGGGGGCTAGGCTACTTCAGGGTTCGGGGGCAGTACTGCTATGCGTACATGTCGTATGTGTGTTGTATTTCAAGAAAGGCTGTGTATGTGTGTAGTACTCGAACTATGAATCAAAGCCTAGAGTATGTGTGTACAGGGCACTGAGTCTCGAGGCATCTCCCGGTGTTGAAGTTCGATCCCGAGGATTGAACTTCAATACTCCCCGAAATCTAACATTCAGGATTCCTGGGAGAAGTTTCCCCGGGATCTTGAATCTTGAATCTTGGATCCCGTGGAGTATTGAACTTCAATCCTCGGGATTGAACCTCAATACTTCCTACTGAACTTCAAGATTCCTTCATTGCTCTTGCCCATGTTGAGCGTGACCGCCGGCCTCGCAGCCTTTACGATTCTTAGCGCCCTTGTATCCTCCCAGTTGGTCTCTTCGTCATGGCCGCTGTCCCCGTCTCCGGAGTCGTGTCCTTCAATGACGGTTCTGCGTATCTACGCCTGGTCCCGCTGCGATGACGTGATCGGCCATCAAGGACGGGAAGGTCACAGTCCACTGCAGTCGCCAACCCATGACGAAAAAGGAGCTGCAGGTCGGCATGAACAACACCCAACGCAGCCTCCGCTTGAATACTGGGGCAGGTGGCGCCACGGAGCCGACTTCAGGCTTCTTCGCCTTTTAGCTTTCAGGAAGAAAGCTTACGCCAAAAGGAACCAAAAAAGGTCATCAAGGACTCCGATACCATGTTAGCCATCAAGGACAAACACATCCCCGAGGACATCAATCATAACATCCCGGACGAGACGATGTCTGACTGGTAGGAGCACGAAGTGGACCGAGGTCGAAGCGGATAAGGCTGTCTTTGACAAGTACTTGATCGCAGCAGCGGATGCTCCCGACCCCAACAAAACCATGAAGTGGGAGCAGTGGTTGGGCATGGTGCCCCGTGGGAAGCCCTCCTCTCTCGTCTTGTTCCGATTGCGCTCCTTGACCACGCAAAAGAGACAGCCCCAGGCCTCGGAGCCGTGCGCAAGGACGACTGGCTCAATACCGCCAAGAAGTGGCTCAAAGATCGCTCGACCATCCTGCACACCGACAGTGCTCGGAGCTATCGAACCAAGATCCGTGGGGTGCTACATGACGCTGTTGTTCACCAGAAGAAGAAGGTGTGCCGTGGAGGAAAAATGGTTTGGCAGCCCCCACCTTCGTTCGCGTTGCAAAGCACAAGCTTCCCGATGGGCGCAAGATCACCGTCAAGGCTGACACGCGTGATTGATCGGGCGTGGCGCTTTCTGAAGGAGAGGGTGAAGATCAATCAGAACACCAAGACCGGATCCCACCAGCTGGCCGCGAAGATCAAAGCTGCCCAATACGAGTATTGGCAGCGGGGTAGGGACGTGTGGGCCAGCACTGGCACTTTTGTCACCTGGTACATGGACAGAATCACCACAAAGCACAAGTGAGCCTGGACCACGAAGCGGGTGCACCACTGGTTCATATGAGTTTTGAAAGTGGCGTAGGGACATGCGGGCCAGCTTTGGCCATCGCGTCTGCTCCATGTCTGCTCATCTTCAAAGCAAAATCCACTGATATCAACTGGCACACGCCTTGGAAAGCCACGAAACGGTAGATAACCGGGGGGCGTAGCATATCAATATAAGACTATATGTACAATATATATATATATATATATAAATATGTATATGCTACTCCCCCTCAGGTACCCACCAGGTTTGCATCTTTATGCTGATAGCACAAAGGAAATCGGACAGAAAAGGACATATAGTACTAGTAATTGGTGAGCGAGTGTGGCAAAACTGCAGGGTATGGCGACGCAGGCCTACTGAAACCCACTAAGAGAAAGAGCTTTGCACGCCATAGAGGTCATGTTGTAGCATCCCCAAGGCCATGCCCGCAGTTTTCGGATCAAGGTGGATAGTGGCTATGTTTAGTTGGCTGTCGTTATGGTTTTTACACACGCAACAATGTCATTGCTGTGGTGGGTTTTGCAGTCTCTCACATGAACTGCTGTGTTCATTGGTTCATACAGCCATATATGGAATAAGCCTAAAGCGGTGTCATATAGTGTCATTATACCTGTCAAAGCCTTTAGTCTTCGCAGCGCTGTACTTGTTACCCCATATTGTATTATTCCTGGTACTGTAGTTATCATACTTCATCAATACCAAGCCATTTAGCACCATGCACCACCCCGATTCTTTAATTTCTGCATCAAGTTGTACTGTGTCAATTATTGTTGTGATTTTTCATTCGGAGTACTTCGTATACTGTTCAGGAACCTTGCTCAGTAATAGCCAAGCATGAGAAAGTAAATGTAGTACCTGCTGAGTCCTACGTTTCGTATCTTCTGCTAATTTAAGTATGAACCTACCGGAGAGTACCACGTGAATACGTACGCTTGTGCTTCAGTAACTTCTTGGTAGGATGATGGTTAACCAAGTCACACGTTTGCTTGCTTGTTTACCTGTTGAGAGTGGGTTGTTAGCGTTCCAAGTCAAACATGAACCAACACGCCGTGGCTGCGTATTACACTCTAGGTTGTATGTTGTTGTTTAAGTTTATTAGTCGACCTTGCTAGTGTTTTCACGCCAGGTGACTTCGACATGTTTAATTCATCCGAGTTCAACTCATCAAAAGTGTGTGTGTGTGTGTGCATCATACAGGTAATATCCATTTTATTGGTCGTAGAATCGTTGTCGAAATTCTGCACCTACCAAATGATGACATCTTTGACAACGATGTATGTCACAATTCTGGTGCAAATGGTAGTCTCATTGACTAAGGGCTTCTTTGTTTTTATTGTAAGCACCAGTGCCACACCCAAAAAGAATACACAACCACAACTACCAAAGACCCCCATGCAAACACCAAGCGACATAAATAAATGCTTTCTACATTTATGTTGAAAAGTGGGTGATTAAGCCAGCACAAGCATGTTCGTGCAGCAGTAGCTTTCCTATAATGAAGTTTTGAATGTTAGACATGTAGTATAGCCTTGTACGTGCAAAACAAAAAACCCATGAACTGGTGTTCCCACAGTAGCGTCTTCAAGCGGAGACCATTAATTGCCCAGCTTCGTGTTGGAGCAACTAGTGAGTTTAATCAAGGATGCAAACATTTTACCGGCTTGTTTGCAAAACGCCTCGCGCCAGTTCATAACATCTGCTCAATCGCAAATTTCGGTAACAACGTCTTGAAATGTGTAAGTCTAAGCAATGCTGGCGAAACCAACATTTTCAACATTTTTCAACCATTCCCATGAATCTAGAGAAAATTCGGGAGCCGGAGCCATCGTTTCGGGAATAATTGACATTGTTGGAAATGTTGGCAAAACCAAGGATTTCCATGATTCCCCACAAACAAATCATGGAAATTGTTGGCTTTACCAGCATTTCCAACAATTTCCATGAATTTAGAAAAAACCTCGGGAGCCCGAGCCAAACTTACAGGAATCATGGAAATTGCTGGAAATGTTGGTAAAACCAACAATG